GTTCTGTAAATATTTATGGTTCATGGTATCCAAGATTGTTGATCTAAGATTTTGAGACTTCAAAGTTGAGAATTGTTTTTTTTTAAAGATTTATTTATTCATACAGAGCTCTGGGGTACAGGCCAGAGGTGCAGGGGCGGTGAGAGGATTCACCAGAGACAGAGTGGGGAGCAGAACAGGCAGACTGACAATACACACTGCTGAAGGAAGCAGCTAGTGAGACAGGAGAGGTCTGTGCCATGTGGGTCAGCTCCCTGGCTGGGGATCGAACTCATGCTGCAGTGGCTGGTGGTAGCTTGAAAGTGCTGAGACTTTAACCCCTGTGCCACCAGGGAAGCCTGAGACTATATGGTTTTGAGGAGTTGCAAGTTTGAAGGATGGTTGGTGTATATAAATAGAGAAATAATGAAAAACAAGGATATGTATTGGTAGCTCACGGCAGAAATTGTTAGTAGTTATGTGAAGAAAAATGGAATTAACAGAGTATGTGTGAACTGAATTTTGAAGCATTTGGAGGCATGGCTGTGTGTGCATCTGTTTATTTACTTTTGTGACCTAATACAGATAGTCTTACTGTACTTAACTGGACATAGTTAACTGATTCATGACTTTAGTGTTTTACTACTTTAATATTGCCATCCAGATGGCTTTGACCTGGCTGCTGTTAGTATATCTACCTCTGAGATTTTGTCTTTGTATCATATGGCAGAACCCCATGTGGCTCCAATCCCACCCTTTGCTCATTGGTACATTGTACCTTTTCTACATTATTATTTTTCACTGATCCACCTTACTTTCTGCCTGTTTTTTAATCCTGAAACACCATCTTTTTCAAATGGTGATTCTCAGGATTGGAATTTTTATGGTAAAGTTACTCTATTCTCTTGGAAAGAAACATGCTTCTGATCTAACCTGAAAGACAGTGTATTTGGTATATGTTAATTTTGTACAATGTTCACTTACTATGTTTGGATAATATTTTTGAAAAGAGTACATTAGTGTTTAGATGAAACATGCTAAATTACAGAGGCCTTGCATATTTTATTTTACATTTTGGGTCAAGTATTGATCCAATAGGAATATTGAAGACATTTATACATAACTATGCAAAAATGAAGCATTTTGGTTTAATATATGCATGACAGGTGAAAAATACTCTAAGCAATAAGAAAAAGACTTTGATAGCTCATTGTTTATCATCACCCTGAAGATGAAGTAATTGAGAAAATGGATTTACAGAACCGATGGTTATTTTCTTAATCACAAATCTATTTGGAAAACGTACAGTTAATAAAAAATTATTTACCAGTAATATATATGAAATGTATCAGTTTCTGAGGTTATCAAACTAATAAGGTATGTGTTGTTTTTAAACGAGGGCCGCACATGGTACCGTATCTCAGGATGAAATGTTAACATTAATTAGAAAAGCAACTCAGATCTTTTGTGCCTTATCCAAATGATAGTGATTGGATGCTAAGGATTTGGTTATTTTTATTTGCTAGTGGGAAGAGTATGTTACTTGCTTTGGTTTTGATTAGTCAGTCAAGAAATTAAGGTAAATGTCTGAGTAATTGGAGTAAAATCAAGTAAATATGATTCTAGTTCAGAAGTTAAGATAAATTGTTCAAAAATGTATCTTCTACAAGTGCTTATTTCTTAAGGACATTCAGTAGTTGTGGACTTAATTCTTTCTGTCTATACATATTTGCTTTAACTTCAGGTAGTTTTCATTTACTCAACAAACTTTTATGAGTTATTCACTATGTTTTGCATTGTCTTAATGCCCTTTTTGAAAATTACAGATTGGTAAAATCATAGTGGGGACTCCTGGAATCCTTTGCTTGATTACCCTAATTGCTCTAACATTCCCAGAACTGGATTTTTATTGTGAGAGTATTTTTGTGTGGATATGTATTAATGACAGAATTAAAATTCCATGAAGCCTACATTTGAATTTGTTGGCTCCACAATTTTTTCTTTTAATCTGAATCCATTGAATCTGGTATGTAAGTGTTCTGTAAATATTTATGGTTCATGGTATCCAAGATTAGTAATCACCTTTAACTATAGTGTAAAATGTTCTTTTTAAACAAAATTTTGTCCCAGAATGAATAAAATTTAAAGCAGTCAAAAAATCCTTTATAAACTAAATTTAGTGCTTGCTCATGGCTGTTTCTATTTTTTAATACTCAATTATACTACTGTTAGAAGAGTAACATAAAAATAGGTAAGAAAGACACAGAAATAAGAAAATGGTGTATATTAAAGCAGTTCTTTTGGTACTTTTCTGGATCAGTTGTTTTTGATAAGTAATGTGTTTGACTTAACATTTTCAACCCCAGGTAATGCAAATTTAGAATACACACCTGTATCAGTAAATGTAGAATAAAATTGATTGCTGAAAACTTGCAGTTACATAAACCTACCATTCCAAACATCTCTCCCTTGAACATTTACCTTAATAGAGCACAAAGTAAAGGTATTCTTAGCAGGTGATTGTTGAGAAGAATTTGAGTAGCTTTTTGAGGAAGGTCATTGAGACAGGTCAGCTATAGGTAGATATACAACCTGCCTAAGAATTGGATGGATGCTACCTGGCTGGAAGATGGAGCTGATTGGTGAATCAAAATCTTTGAAGGAAACCTTCCATTTTAGCTTAAGTGTTTGTTAAAATTCTGTTCTAATGAAGTACTATTGCTATTATTTAAAAAGTGAAATGAATCACAAGTGGTTATTTTAACAAGAGATTGTTTCATGTGATTTTTTTGTATGCAAAATAAATTTGGTTGAGTGATACTTAGTAAACTTCTCTATTAAATATGAACTTTTTAATTATAATATATCCAATGTTAGGCTACAACACCCTATAAGTAAGTCATTTCTATTTTATATCTTATTTTTCTAAAGCCTATCTTATTGTATTTATTCAGGTTTATGTGAGATTAAGACCATTCTTCAGGGAATTCCTGGAACGAATGTCTCAGATGTATGAGGTAAACATGCTTAAGCTAATCACATACGTGTTTTTATTTTATCCATATTTAGTTCATGTATAATGATTACTTCTTTTCCCCTGAATTTGTAGATCATTCTTTTTACTGCTTCTAAGAAGGTGTATGCAGACAAGTTACTGAACATACTAGACCCTAAAAAGCAACTGGTCAGGTAAATTTAATTAAGAAATAGTGGAAATGTCTGTCACACTGCTCTATGAAATTACTATGATTCTATTTAATTTTTATGGCCATTTTCACTTGGCTTCATATATAGAAATTTGTTGTGTTGAGTGGTGAATATAAGTTAATTTTTAAACCCTCAAACTCGTTCCTATTTATGTAACTTCAGACAGACGTTCTTTAAAGGATACAAAAGTCAAATGTATTTTATTCACTGTGACATCTGTATCCTTATTTCTTTTGGGATTGGGGGAGATTTGTGAGTGTTTGGAATTTTTCATTGTGTGCATGATATTTTCATTTCTGTTTCTGAGACAGTGCATGTTATATCTGCTTTTAATGGCATAGAGAAATAAGTTATTTTTAACAGAAAGGGTCAAATTAAACCCCTTTGCTTTTCGCAAGAATCAGATTGGAGATTAAAATTGATTTAGCAACTAAGATTATCCTTTTCTAGACTCAGTTCCTGGTATGTGTCCTCAGCCAGAAGATATGCAGTGTCCTGGTTAGGTGGGAGTGCCTTGGGTAATTTGAAAATTGGTTCCATTATTTTTTTAACTGAAGTGAGATACAGTACAACAGTCATGCTGCATCCTCTATAAGATTTAGAGAGTTGGTCTTGGATTTTTGACCAAGAATTGAGAGATGCCGCAGAAGGCTCATAAAAACTCATATGGCTGGATATTCATTTTCTTGAATTCTTTCCCCCCATATTTTAGAGGAAAATCCTAAGTTGAATTCCTGCTGTTGATAATATCTTTATTATTGACTGCTTTCAGATATGCTGAAAGTTTTCTCCTAATGTTCACATTTAGGAAATTGTTTCCCTTCTAAAGAGAACTATGATACATATTTTTTAAAAAACCAAATTGTAGTTCATACTCACTTTTCCTGATGTCAACAAAAGTATACAAATGGTTTTGTTTTCATGACATCATATATTTATATTTTCTGTTCTGCACCAGTAATATATCCGAGAACAGTGAGCAACACATCCTTCCTTTTTGGAACTTTCATTTCACTGAGACACAAATCATAGGCATGCGATTATTTAATGTGTTTAAAATGAACACTTTTAAAAATTAGTTTATGAAGTACACAGAATTTTAAATTTGTTTTATCTAACATTTTGAAAACAGAATAACAAAATGTTGAACAGTATAATCTATTAGAATACAGATTTGAAGATAGGAAAAAATTGGTTTTTCTCTAAAATTACAAATACATGCTATTCAATGTCAGGCTACTAGATAACTGTGAAGGGAATTTTAGTATAACTTAAAGTAACTATTAATATCGACCTGTATTCAGTTTTATCCTGTCTGGGGTATCTTTGTTGTATTGGGGGGAAGGCATCAACTGTGATTTGTATGTATATGTTGTACCTGCCTCTCCAATTTCCTCATAACTTTTTATAAATAAAATGTGGAATCTTATTTAGACACAATCAGGACTTTTTCTATATTTTTTCAAAGTAGGGCTATCTTTAAACCTTTCAGGTATAGATGATCATCTAATAATGTAAACTATTTAAGTATTCTTTATAATAAGGGGAAAGAGCGGTTTATACTACATTTTGTATGCTTGAAAAACTTCCTCTTCCATTGATATTTTAACATTGAGTTCTGATGTTTTCTGTTGGTGGTGTTGTCAGAGCTATAACAAGTTATATTGATATGCCCTTTCTTGAAATTGCATAATCAAAAATAGTTGTGAGTAGGCCCTATTCCTGAAAAATTGTTTAATGTAATTAAGACACAGGGAAGCCAGACTACCAAATTACTAGTGTATGTAAATGGAGCATTTAAAAGTTTGGGGGGGAAACTCAGTATGTCTATATCAATTATTAATAATCAGAGACTAATATTTCGTGAACTAAATGGAGATTATATAATTGTTATAATATATCAAGCCTTTAATATAAAGCTTTTCAAAATGAAACAGATTTTTCAATTTAGTATTTGTCATTGGTGAAACCAGTTTACATTTGTAAAACTGGAATCTGACTTCATCAGTTCATTCAGTTCTTGTTTTTTCAAATGATCATACACTCACAGTAAATTCAAAGAAAGATGGGTGCTTAGGAAAAGTTAAAATGATGGAATGTTTTGGCCTTCACACCTTTTCTGAAACACTATAAGGGAAACTAAGAACATTTTAAAATTGCCAACACAGAGACATTCCTTCTTATATTTTCTATTCTGGCATGTACAGGGATAGGGAGGCTGTGTGGTCTTCTGGTTAGAGCAAAGGACTGGGAGCCAGGAGGATCCTGGGTTCCAATGCGGGGCTAACTTCTGAATTACTGTGTGACCTTGGGCAAGTCACTTGATCTTCTTGTGCCTCAGTCAACCATCTGGAAAATTGGTTAAAAAGCAGGACCTCGCTGACAACCAGATGCTGCATCTGAACTGAGCTTTCCTGGGTAAATAAATTATAAAAACAATTTATAGAGTTTTTAATCCCTTTTTATAATTTAATATATTTTGGGATAACCAAAGTTCTTTAAGGCATGGTAATATTTGGTTATAAGGTTTCAATAACTGCTACGAATTTTTATAGAACCGAAGCCCAAAGCTTACGCTCACATTTGTATCTTAATTTCCTTCATAAAAGATAACTAGGCTTAACCTGTATGGTCTATCATGTGTTTTTGTGTACATGTTTCTATATATGTTATGCTTTTAGAGATTTTTAAAGTTAATTTGCTGTAACTTTTACGTTTAGGCACCGGCTTTTCCGTGAACATTGTGTTTGTGTACAAGGAAACTATATAAAGGACTTAAATATCCTTGGAAGAGATCTTTCAAAAACTATAATAATTGACAACTCACCACAAGCCTTTGCATATCAGGTAGGAAGAGTGTTGCTTAAAAAACTACTGGGGAGGGCCCTCCCTGGTGGTGTAGCTGGTTAGAGCACTACACTAAGATGCTTAAGCCGCTTCCGCATGAGTTTGATCCCCACCTACCCCTGGGGAGATCCACATAGCGTGGGGGACCTCTCTTGACCACTGCCCGCTGCTCCCCTCAGCAGTGTGCTTCGTTGATCTGCCTGTGCTGCTCCCCGCTCTGTCCCTGGTGAATCCTCTCACCTTCCACATCTCTGGCCTGTACCTCAGTTCTGTATGAATAAATAAATCTTAAAGAAAAAAACTACACAATTGAGGACAAGTACTTCCAAACAATATGAGAGGATAGAATTTCCACTGGTTGAATTGAGTTGCAGTCTGGGCAAAAGGGACTATACATAATTTAATTGCTTTTCCTTAACAGTTGTTAAGTCACTAATTTAACTATAAACATATTTTAGAATTCAGATAGCTTCATTCAGTTCTCCTGGTTTAATATGACATTCTGAAATATTTTCTGGAGTATTCTGTCACTATATTTGTTTCTTTCTTAACTTGAACCCTTTCTCAAACTAGAGATGACTTATCCTTGCAAGATCTATTTTGCCTTTTTTATAGATATGTTCATATGAAAAACATGACTCACAATGATTGCAACGTAGCTTTGGTGGAAAGTGGGTTGGGTATAGATGGAAAGACTTGGCCCACCTTCTATATATATATTTTTTTCAACCTTCTATATTTATAATAAAAAGTAAAAAAAGAAGGGAAAACTGCATATGATATTGAAATGTTCAAATCTAAGCCACTGTGTTATTTGCTTCAATTTTGAAGTGTGTGTTTTAAGAATTTCATCTTGGTTCTTAGATAAAATCATTTGTTATTCTCAGTGTTCAGCATAACTGTTGAAATAAAGGTATTTGTCCTATAGGTTATTTGTTATAATAAATGGTTTTGCATTCTTCTTTATACTCTCTAGTGAAATACCATTGAATCAGCTTATGTTTCTACTATGTTATAGTTTATCCTGCTAGATGCTGAGAATAAATCAATGAATGGGATGCGGTGCCTTTGTAAATATGTATGCTTCTCTTTAATTACAGTGCTTAATTGCATTGTCTAAGTGACTGTTTTTGAATGGGTAAAACCAAGCTTTTAGTTATGTTAATGCAGAACTGGTTTTAGTAGATCATCTTGTTTAGTTTTACATAAACTAATACAAAATTACACTGAACAAACAGGCTTCAACTTATTCCCTAACATATCTACTGCACCATTAATTGCTAATGAATGTGACAAGTGTGAATTCTGATGATACTGTTTCAAAGGAACTTATGTTCACTTAAATCTGTTACAAAGTAGGCAAAATGTAAACAGAAGATTTATTTATTTATTTTAGCTATCAAATGGAATCCCTATAGAAAGCTGGTTTATGGATAAAAATGACAATGAACTCTTAAAATTGATTCCATTTCTGGAGAAGCTTGTAGAACTGGTAGGTATACCTTATTTACCTTTTCCTGGTTTGTTTTGTTGCCTTATTTACTTTAGATATACTGACTTTAAGACATAGGGAAAAGGTGAGAAGAATTAAAGCATTCTGAACTTTTTATCATTGTATAACAATTTATAGTTTGTTTTTATTTCACTGAGCTCTCTTGCAGGTCACTAGGTATGTTAACACTGATTTCATAGGTTAGGTCTAGAATATTTAATGATTATGTTACTGAAAAGTTCTGGGGTTATTTTTTGCCACCTAAATCCCATGGATTACTTTTAAAACAGATGTATAAAGTAGAAGTTAGCACCTTAATAGTTTTACCTGTCTTTCGGTTTGACCTTATATTGCATTTTTGTTGTTACAAGATTAAACTTTTACTGACAATTCTTTTTTAAAAATGTGTAAACTCTAATTCTTCAGTGTGGTAGTATCTTTATTTTGGCAAACAAAATAGTAATAGTTGTAAAGTAGTATTATGTGTTCTCTGCAAAGAAATAATGGGCATATCTATGAAATTGTGACTTTTAAAATGTCCTTTTCTCCATGCAGAATGAAGATGTTCGGCCTCACATCAGAGACAGATTTCGCTTGCATGACTTGCTGCCCCCAGATTAAGTACAAAGACTTGTTAAATCACTGAATGGGGAGAGAATGCAGGACCTTTTTGGACTAAGACAAAAACATTGCCATTACTGTTGAAATTTTGCATTTTTGTACCCCGTCTTGCTTTTCTTATCTTTGGTGCCCAATAATAATCAAGGGTTACAGAAAGAGACTTTATTTCAGATTGAATACATACAGTAGGTAGGCTAAAACAGAAGAGTCTTTAGAACTAGTGCAACTCCAGTGAAATTTTTTTATGTACGGGACATCTGCAGTTTATAAAGAATTCTGTTTCTGCCACCAGCAGTTTGACCTGTAGTCACACAGGATTTTATGATAATAACAGAGATGAAAATGGACTTTTATTTTCTCTCTGTTTGGTGCTCTAAGTGGGTTTGTAGCCACTTTTCTGTTACTTTAAGATTCTCATTTCAACAGGAATGGCCAGTAAAAGTTGTTTTATTTTTCCTGTTAAGGTTTATAACCTTTTTTACATTTTTGACCTGTACTAGATTAGAATTTCATTATGCATTCCTTTTAGTTGAGGCGCTTCCTAGTTTTCTGGAAATAGTCAATTTTTAGTTTTATATTATACATTTGAATGGCCGTTTTCCTGCTTTGTCTGCCTGCATATTGTATATTTGTTTAAAAATATTCTCTACTTTTAGTCCATGTAAGTTTCATTTAGAAAGACATGCATTTATATTTTGTTTCTGTAATATTCTACTGTAGGTGAAATCTTCAAAAATCAAGAGACTGGGTAGATACGAATATATGAATGACTAATATTCAAAAGATTTAAACCATTGTGATGGCATGTTTCCAAATGATAATATCTTGCAATGGCACAGATTTAATGGATAAAAGGTATACCTCAGACTTCACTGTGCTCACCAATCTTTGAGGAGAATGGATTTGGCCACCTGTTGGGCTTGATTTGGTTACTGCTGCCTTTGGTTTTCTCCAGGAATGAAGTATTCAGCACAGTGACTCAGTATTTTTAGTTACTTTGCATGGGCTGGTCGTACCTCTGTTATGCTCTCGGTTACAATCAATTTAAAACTCTGTATAACAGTTTTGGTACCTTACAGTAGCTATGCATAATCCTGTGGCACAGTTAACTCCCAAGCCACCAATGCAGTTAATACGCTCTCATAGTGGTTTTCTATGCTATATGAAAATAGTCTTCAAGCCTTGGTTCTCTAATGCAGCTACCACAAGAGGTTGATATTTTTATAGTGGCGTGTAATCTCCTTTTCGGGAGGCTTTTTATGGAAGGTAGAATTTGTAAAAGTTAGTATGCTTTGCCTCTCGACTGCATTAACATGCCACAGGCTCAGACTGTTTTTGTGTAAAGGATGTCAAAAGAACGGCACTTTTTCTAAAGAGAAGTTTGATATTTTGTATGCTTGTTAAGAAAGTACAGTATTGGAAATTAAAGGTGGACAACTGATAATTGAGGAGTATGTCACTTAATTTTTTATGTATATTACCTGTTTACTTGTACAACTTATTGTACAAATTACATGCAGCTTCATTTTCAAATGAATCCTTAAAATAAGGAAATCTTTTTAGGAAAACATTTAATTTTTGTATTTTTGATTTTAAAGGCATGAGTTATGTCAATTTTCAGTGTATTAATGAAGATTTTAACTTTTCATCAGGTTGAGTGTTTTCTTACTATATTATCTGTTGTGTATGTAGTTAGCATATTGTGTCACTGAACTGTTTAAAAATCTAGCATGTAGAGCAAGCCTGTTTTGTGGAAAATCCTTATTCATTAAAAAAAATAATCATGGCAGATTTTCTGCAAAAAAAAAAAACAAGCATTTGCAATTCAGAATACTGGTTTTGTTTTAATTTAAAGAAAGGTATTTTGCTTGCAGGAAAAAATACTACAGATTCATTTTAATGAGTATCTTTGAAATGTATTTATCTTTAGGGCATCTGGGCATCTTTATGCTGTTTGTCTTCTGTCTTTCTTGAAATAAAATGTACATATGTTACCTTTACATATGCTCTTGCTCAAAATTGTGAACCTAGTTACATGTATCTTCACTCCCTTTTTCTTAAACAGCAAAACCCAAAACATACAAGATCTAAACTTTCAGCATGTGTTGTAATTGCTGAAAGTTTTTCTAATAAGTGTAGTCTCAAAGGGCTTTCCCATAACTTAAGGGAAATGTAAGCACCTATACCATTTGTGCCTGTAGGCACTTTAATAATAAACACCAACTTTTAATCGTCTTTTAATGGTAAAGCTGTTTTCAAGTCCCATGCTGGGAGAGTTCCTTTAAGTTGACTGATAAATGAAATCAAGCATAATAGGATTCTGTAACAAAATTACCTAAGGGAAATTTTATATGGCTTGAGGAAATTTGAGACCAATTTAATATATTTTTCTTCACTATTTTGATTCATTTTAAACTTGAAATTTTTAAAAATTTAGACAACTTACTCAGCTGCCTTCTTAGTATGTTTTATCTTCTCATTACCCTTTTTCTTTACCTGTTGACAGATGTTACCTTAAACACCTCCATTTAAGTGGACGTATGTATGTATGTATTATAAATTGAGGTATGTCCAGCCCCTTCAGTTCATACAGCATATATGAACTCTTAAAAACTTACTGTAGTAAATGCAGGAGAGATGGATACCTGATTAGACAGCAAAAGTGACCTGTATACACATTACATTTCTGAAAGATACAATTGTGATATTTCCAGTAATAAATGTCTGACTTAAAGCATTCTTTTAAATATTTGTATTAGGATGTTTTAATCACTTGTCTTTTTTAGTTCCATGTTATATGTAGCCCTAATCAGATTTATATCACATTTCTCCTTGGGTCTTAAAAGAGAGTTAATTCAAAACCATAAATTGTTTTATAGTAGGTAGTTATGTATATTTATTTACCGGATGGCTTTATCTTGTTTCCCAAAATTTGGAGGGGGGAGGTTTGTTGAAAGCATTGTAAATTCTATAAATGGCTATTTTCTTGTAACTGTTAGTGAAAATGGATATGTACATTGCTCTTTTCTATTTTTCTGGGTGTTTTTTTTTTGTTGTTGTTTTTTAGGGTTAAACAATTTTTTTTTATTTTTTTTTAATTTTTTAAGTTATCTTGGCCAATGACTTTCATCTATATATTACTTTTATTCAGCCTTCTAAAGAAGTTCGTTTTTCATTGTTTTGTTCAGTCAACTTGCCTGAAATACAGAGGGACTTATTATCATCAATGAAGAAAACATTTCATTATTCCTACAAATCTTTCCAGCGAGCACAGAATTCTTCGTAAGGACCAGATCTCTTCCACGTCTTGTGTCAATCACATAAAGCTGAAATGTAAAGGACACTGAAGCCTTCATCTAATTGTACAAAAAAATGGTGTGATATACTACATCATTAGCTAGTTAAGGTTTTCTGACCTGAATTCTCTTTGTCTTCCTAGGTATTTATTTGTTATCTCTCTTAATCTTGTATCTAAATTAACTTAGTTAATAGTTACCCACCGAATAACTATGCCAAGCAACTAGGAAAGAATGTTTATTTTATTTCCCCTTATAGGGGAAGTGTGGACTGGGAACAAAAATGTATGGGCCAAAAGGCCTTAGGTTGTCATTCATTCACTTTCTTACTCCTCTCATGAGCTATATTTGAGTATATTTTTTCAGTGCTAATGTGCTTGATTATGTCATTACTTTTCATGTCTTCCCCTGAGTTGAAAGCCTGCCAGAAACCTCTGTATAAAATACATTTTAAAATTTCAATTAAATAAGAACCACAAAATTCAGTATCTTATATTTAAATATTTATTATTGGAATACAAGTCTCACTCACTAGGATACATTTTTATAAAATGTTTCTCTGTATCTTGAAATTACTTGCCCAGAGACTAGAGTTCCTGGGGTGTGTTTTCAGAACTTTTAAAATAGGGGTAGAAGAGTAAGTTTATACTTACGTTATGGTTTTGATAATAGTATTTTAAAATACATCAGTGATTTCCAAACCTGACTCTTCATTAGAACTACTTTAAAGGCCTTTTGAAATACAGATCTCTGAGATGTAGCCCCTGCAAAATTGCCTCACTGTGTCTAGAGTGGGGACAGAATTCTGTATTTTTAAAAAAAGCTCTCCAAGTGATTCTTAATACCCAGGTTTGGGAAATCACTGCTTTAAATAATGTGACAGTGGTTTGAGAGTAGGCTACAAAAGTTCACCAGATGTCAATTTGTGGTAGTTTTTTTGTTTGTTTTTAAACTGGGACCAGATTTCACAACTTACTCAAGATACACCGAGGAATAATAAAGATGGAGGCTACTGCTCATTTTTATCTTTCATACTTAAAAGAGTTTGCATTTCTAGCACTTGGAATAGTTGATCGATATACACAGTTGAAGGACATATCCCTGAATGAGACCATTATATAAACTGTAAAATATGTCACTATTTTTTTATTTTATAAATCTTTGTAGAAATAAGCAATGAAATACTTTCACCTTTTGAAATGGGATTTTTCAAGGCAGTGTCCTTTTAGTGTTAGGTAGAGGGGAGTTAATATTCTCTCTTCCTATTTCCACGAGTTAATATAAATTCATGGACATTTAAAAATCTCATTTTGATTTCTACATATTTGCTATGCAGTATGGCCGTGAACAAGTAATGTAGATTTAGTTTGATCATCTTCAAATGCCCTGATCACCCTACCTCACAGGGTTGTTGTGGGGAGAAATAAAACTTTTATGGAAGCACTTTTCTTCGATGATATTTTATCAGCCATTAGAAAAAAACTTGCATAGGGCTGCCTTTTTTTTTTTTTATACGAATGCAGAGTTTCACATTAGTTTCCTTTTGGTCGTCTTTAGGGATAGAACAGCAAATAACAAAGTAGGTTACAGGCCAAAAAAAAAAAAAAAAGAAACAGCGCTCTGACTTCAGTTATCACTACAAAATTGGGGAAAATTTCCTAAGGCAGGCCTTGTCATTCTTGTATAGTCATATTTATATAAACAAAGCTTTCTTAAGAATCAAGTTTGCCTACAAAATGTTCTTAGGAATGTGATTTTGCTGTAAAATACTGTGGTAGAAATGAGATTCTAGTTAAAGTTTTTAAACGGAGGAAATCCCCCATTTTGTGTGTATCTTTGTTTTACAGATAAGGAAATGTGTCAAAATACATGTCTTCCCAAGGTCAGAGCTGGAACTAGGACCTAGGTCTCTTCATTGCCATCGTTCTAGTAACTTTAGGAGGAATAATGTTTTTTAATTTCCATAACTACTATGTACAGAAATGAGGTAAAACCTGAATAAAGAAGGGGTTAGCTTTGACAAGTAGAAGATGGCAAGAAAGAACCAGATTCTAGTGAATTAAGTTGAGGAATTTAAACTTGATGTAATGGGTTAAAACTTGAACCAGTCTGTAAAATAGCACTCTGGTCCCACCCCATTTCTATGACTAGATGTTTCCCCTCTAGGTTTACTAGGGATAATTAACATGGTTGTATATTTAAGGTGTACAGTGTGATTTAATATACATAACTGCAAAATGTTTACCTTGGCTCATTTCTTTCTCAACATAATTACCATTTTAATTAATATGACAAGAAATTAAAATCTCACTAGCAAGTTTCAAGTATAGGATACAGTATTAACTATAGTCACTGCTGTATATCAGATTTTTTGTATAGTTCCTTACTACTCAGCATTTCATTTTCCTCACCCCCAACCATTATTTGAGATGAGGCTTGATAACTTGCCCCTCTGATGCCCCAGAGGAGTTTAATACATAGGTATATTTGACTGTCACTTTGTAAAAGCCTATTAGATTTAAGGTGAATAGTTGATTTGGGAAGTTCATGAAAAAAGCACAAAGCAGTCAGAAGACAAATTAAGTCCCTGAGACTCCACCCTCTTACTAGACAAAGCAAGGTTCTCTGAGCCTCAATGTATGCATCTCTAAAATGTGCACACAATTACCTTAAGATAGTTGATTGGATCTGACACCCACTTTTTTTCTAGTTCAGGTCACCGTTAAAATGCCAGCTTAGCAGAAATAAATGTGTCTGGAAGGACCCAGCTATATTTTCTTTTGAAATCTTACTTATGGGAGGAAAAAACGGACCAACGAGCAGGTTTTTTTTCTTTATGTTTAATCACATCAATCAGTTATAGCAGAACTTCTCGAGATTTCCTATCTGTAATTAGACTACTAGGAGTTTGTTGGAAAGATACTGGGGGTACTTCATGGAATTTAGGGAATAGCTGGACAATGACCTCAGAGAAGGCAGAAGAGAGTAAGGAGGCTTAGGAAATTAATTCAAGAGGAGTTTGGTCTTCCCTCCAGGTGCTGCTGTCAGCAACCAACTTCCACCAATTTACAGGTCTGAGTTTCAACTTCTAAAGTCTTGGGAAAAAGAGTATCACAACATGAATTCTGCTCAATACTTAACAGACTTAAGATATTCTCTCAGATCTGTGGGTTGGCTGACCCATGGGGTGTTAACGTGCTTTCCTTCAAATGGTAGTGAGATACAGAATCATCTGAAGACTCAACTAGGCAGGATGACCAAAATGTCTTTCTCATTTCTAAATATGGTATCTTCTGGAACAGCCAGGGCTACCTATTTCTCCCTAAACAGTCTCTCCCTATGACTACTTCGAACAGCATGGTGGTCTTAGACTAGTAAGACTTGCTAAATGGCTGGTGACTTCTATCATAGCAAGCATTCCAAAAGGTGCAGGTGGAAGCTTGAAGGTTTGTTATGACCCAACCTTGTCACTTATGACATTGTTCAGGTACTGTACCAGTCAAAAATGAATCACAGGGCTAGCTCAGACTTGAGACTAAGTGCTACATGGATACTCTCATGGAGAGGTCATCTTTGAAGACTAGTACTATATCTGACCTAGAGGCCAACCTAGATTTTATAGTGTATGAAGCATATGCAATATAATCTGGGCGAGTTTTCTGAAGGTGGGAGGGGGCCCATGCAATGAGGGGCCCTGATGCTAAAACTTTATTAGCAGATCCATTAATTTGCTTCACATCCCCTTCCCAAATCAATTCTGGTAAGGGAACAAATGCGATTTGGGAGAAGTACACATACTCTTGTGTACTAACATAATTTTTTACCCACTTTTTAAATGCCCAGGAGAATATATGGGCAATTAGAACCCAGAGTACCTGATTTGCAAAAAAAAAAAAAAAAAAAAAAAGGTAAATTGTAAGGATTTGATGGATTTGATTTTAAAAATCACTATCCTTTATATATGTGTTCTGCTGCTTCCTTAAACATGAATGTCATCATCACCATAATCAGATAACTCCCAACCCTTTACCTGTATCCCAGACTTCTCTAGTTCCAAACATTCTAGACGTTTCTATTTGGATGTCCCACAGATATGTGGCATTATTTCTTGCTTTGATCAGAAGTACCATTCATTTTCAAAAACATTTATTGAGCATTTACTACATGCTATACATTGGAAATAGAGTAGTGAAAACAAAAGTCTCTGCTCCAAACAGGTACAAAGTAAAACAAGGTTATTAAGAGATTGTGAGAAATGCTGTAATAAAGTGCTAAGAGTAACTTAAGGATAATACAAAAAAAGTGATGAGAATAACTGCAAGAATCCCCGTGTAGAAGGAGATAGAGACAGAGAAAGGTAACATTTGAATTTTGAAATGAACTAAAAAGAAAAGCCAACCATGCCAAAAGGTGTGGAAAGAACACTGTAGGCAGAAAGTACAAATTTGGTACAAAGCCCAAAAATAGGAAAAGACTTACTTAGTAGTAATGAACTTCATAAGAAAATGGCATTGGGAGAATCCTAGGAAGTAGGAATTAGACTATGGGAGGCCTGTTTGCCCATAATAAGGAGTTGGATTTTATTTTAAAATAAGTCACTAAAGAGATTTCAACTGAGAGGAAGGAAGGAGTGTAGGCTGATTTATATTTTTAAATAATCAAACTGATGCTTAGTGAGTGAGTGGACTGTGGAGTGGAGAGGGTGAAAGAATGAAAACCAATTAGGAGGTAATACAATTGTCCAAACAATACATGGATTAAGGTGGTAGCATGAGACCGGGTAATCAGATGAATTGAACAGTGGAAGTAAATAAGGAACTTTGGGGATGGGCTGAATTTAGGGGGTGAGAGAGAAAGTAAGGACAGCTTCCAGGCTGATTTGAAGGTCTGCAGATGGGTGTCATCATTCATTCAATCTCCAAAGGTCTCTACTTTCCCTTTCTCCTCTGTATTCAGTAACTGTATTAGTGAGTTATCCAGGGAAACAGAACCTGTAGGATGTGTAGATCCAGAGAAATACTTATTTTAAGTAATTGGGCCCTAAGAAGGGGAGTTGGCAGTCAGAGATCTGTAAAGCAGGCTGGCAGGCTGCAGACTCAGGGAAGAGCTGATGCTGCAAAGTACTAAAGCAGTGTGGAGGCAGAATTTCTTTTTCCCTAGAATGTTTTCTTAGGCCTGGAACTGACTAGATCAGATGCACTCACGTTAAAGAGGGTAATCTGCTTTATTCAAAATCTACTGATTTAAATGTTATATATAGCAAATATATTCCCAGCAACCAGTATGACCAAAACTGGGTACTGTGTTCCAGCTAAGTTCACACATAAAATTAATCGTCAGTCACTAAGGTCCATTGATTTTGACCTTTAAAATGTCTCACACTTTAATGTACAATGTACATTAAAGGATTTTGGTGAAAGGTACACTGATTCTGATTCAATTAAATATAGGATAGAGCTTGCATTTTTAACAAGCTCTTTAAGTTTTACTTCTGAACAAAAGTAACTACACTATCTCTTGAAAGACCATTTTTATAAAACATGTATTTGTAGACACCTGAGATAACATAAAATGGGGAAAGATGGTTGCCACTAGAAAGAACAGAATGGCTGATCACTGTATACAACTTTGTATAATCTGAATGTTGTGCCAAGTATGTGTACTACATATTCGAAAAGTAAACTAAGAAAACAAAAAGTAAAAAAATAGCTTACTGTTGACCTTTACCTTAAAACCCTGCAGTGGGGCCCGGTGGCCTAAAAGGCAGAGCACATTTTTGCTCCATGTTGATTTACCTGTTCAGTCGAACTCCCACTGCACCACTGTCAGGTCAGGGCATGTGAGTGTTCTAAGATGCATTTGGGTAAATTTCTCCTGGTTTTTCAAACTCAAATTCCGTAGTTCTTCATCAGGAAGCCTTTGATGCATCCTCCCACGCCCCGTTTGCCCACTCTGTAAATGTTACCTTTTAACATTTAACATCATAATGCTCCTTTTTTGTTGCAGTAAATACACTGCAGAAATTTGTTTACCTGCCTCTTTGCTACTCGATTGTGCAGTTCTCCAAGACAGGCTACTTAATTACCCAGAGGAGATCGAGTTCCAAAAATTGCTCTGCGAAAGGATTCATCATGTATTGACTTCACGGGGCTCACAGGAAAGGAAAATCTTCGAGACCTGGGATTTTCTTCGATTCCTCCGTGACTCACTCATACGATCGTGCAGGCACCCACTCTGGGCACACCGGCGGGCCGGTTATCAGGACTGCGGCCCTTCCCCCAGCGCCCAGTGCACGCCGGTTTCTAAAAGGATCCCAGCCCTCCTCCCAGTGTGTGGCCGCGCGCTCGGGCACTCGGGTCTCCCGCTCCCAACGCGTTCAGGGACCCCTTCCGAGCGTGGCGTGGAGAGTTTGGGGTCGCCTTAGAACCCACCAGCGGCTACTAGTGGCGATTAAAGAGCCCAGAGGGCGGGCGCGCCCGCCGGGGCGGAACTGAGGGCGGCCGGGGAGGGGCGGAGAGTACCGATGAAGGCCAAGCGCCACGCGAGGGGCCTCCCAGTTAACTTCCCGGCACTTACACGTCCTCCTCCGGACTCAGGCTGGAGGTGGAGGAATCCGGGCCGCTTTCTCTCTACCGCCCCACTGGCCTTCAGGACCGTTCCGCGTTGTGGGATACCGGACACTCAGCTTCCTGCGGCAGCCCGTCCAGGGGCTGGGCTGGCCGAGTTCCACGCCCCCTCCCCCGATCGCGCGCGCGTCGCCGGCTCCGCCAGAAGGGGCGGGGCCTGGGCCCCTCGTACAAGTCAGCCACGGTCCCAGCTTGCCCTGCGCGGGCCAACGAGAGCAAATCCAGTGACTCACCTCCGCCGCGCTAACTCCTCGTTCGCTCGCGCCTCACACACGCTCACACCCGGCTCGAGATGGCGGCGGCCGCGGCAGCGGCGGGGGACTCCGACTCCTGGGGTGAGGAGAAGTTCCGGGGGCAGGGCCCGGGTGGACGCTAGCCTCAAGCTGAGACCAGCACTGACACGGTTCGGTCTCTTTTTAGACGCGGACACGTTCTCGGTGGAAGACCCGGTGCGGAAGGTCGGGGGCGGCGGCACCGCCGGCGGAGACCGCTGGGAAGGCGAGGACGAGGACGAGGACGTGAAGGTGGGTGCGGGCCGGGGCTCCGCGCAGCGCGGGAGCTGGCTGGCGCCGTCGCGGGCAGGCGGACGGGCTCGGCCCGGGGGCGCCGCCCGGGCCTGCGTGCGGTGGGTCCAGGCATGAGCTTGTAGGGCCGGGCGGTGCCCTCTTCTCCCCGCTCCCCAGCCGTATGGGCCGGAGACGCCTAGCATGGCCTTTCACACTTACTTCGGCGATGGCGGCGGCGGCCCGGGTGCCAGCCCTTCTTTGAGGTCCACATTCCGGCCTGTACCTCTCACTAGCCAACTGGCGAATGGAGGTGACAGCGGCGGCTCGTCCGGCCCACGTGCAAACTTCCTAGTCTGGAGCGGCTCTCAGGGGTGAGACTGGGAAGTTGGGGCTTGAGAGCCATGGCTTATCCCATATGGAAGCCTTGCAGTCCACCTGCCTTTTCGAGCGCAGGTCTTCCCACTGGCCATACCAGTAACCCCGCTATGACCTCGAAGGCACATTTGTGGTTTATTAGAGCAGTTAGATGCGTAAAATACTGTAGTTTAATTTCAGTCTTTTTTCTTTTTTAAATCAGACAAACAAGCATAAAGTGAAATAACTTTTAGCCGTCCCTCCCCCACTTTTTGGCATTAGGATGAACTGAGTACAGAAATAGCCAGCAGTTAGTGGTTAGAAACTTGGGTAGTCCACTCTGTGATCTGAAAAATGGAGCATTGGTGGAGCGAATTATTCATCTACATGAACTATGCCTAAGGAAATATTGAAGATTTGGGGGTGGGCGTAGACCAATGTTTCCCTGCGCCTTGTTGACCTGAATTATATCTACCATATCTGCTGCCCAAAAGTTCTGGGGACTTGTAAGTCTTCATATGACATGATTTCTGTCTTTGTGTGGTTGTATTTTAAGTAACTTCAGAAGTCTCAAGTCCAGAATGTTAAGGCTTGTTATTAAGAAAGTTGCTCGAAATCTTTCATATTTTTGCAGATCAAGTTTTGTATAAATTGAAAGTGGTTTTTCATGGTTTTGATTTGCTTAGTGAATGTTTTATTTTCCTAATTCGTGCCTTTCAGTACATAATGAGAGCCCCACAAATCCTTCTTTTGCTTGGGTTGAAAAAATTTAAGCTACATGATTACTGTGAACTCAAATTTGCTTTTGCTTGGATTATGATGAAGTGAATGTCCCATTTGTTGAGCAGTCTGAGGTTCAGGAATGGTAAGAGGTTTCCCCATACTGGAGTTAAAAAGTGAGGGGTACTTTTGTGAAGATAACTTAGGTACTTCATTTACATTTTGTGTAGACTTGGAAATGGACTGTGTTACAGATCTCATTGCAAAATAGTAGTAGTTACAGCCCCCCAATGTAGTGATTTTTCTGCTTTGGGCTTTTCATTCAGATTTATCCATTCACTTTTTCTCTGCTTGCTGGATGCAGCAATTAAGGCATTTAAGGAAACTGGGAATAACTTAGTAAATGAGAAGAAGAGATTAAGCAGGAAAGTGCCAGAAAATTACATTTTAATGGAATAGGCTGGACTGACAGCTTGCCTGAGATGAGATCATTGGTTCTACATAGTGGCAGTCCTAATAAATATAATTTTGATCATGTGGAACTAATTTGGGAGATTTACAAATTGTTAGGGTTTCTCAATGTCTTTTGCCTGGTCACTCAATTCAGAATTTATTTCTTTTGTACAAATGACATATTACTTTAAGTTGATTTGGGAGAAGAAAGCAGAACTTGTACATTTTATTTCTGAGTTGAACTGTTGATTTATTTCTGTTGTGTTTCTCCAAAATTCCTAAATTAGGGTATACATGGAGTAGTTAGAACCCTGAGCTGTGGAATCAGCCAAGCCTGGATTATTATTGTCGTTTGACGTTTTCTGTGATCATGAACAAGTTTTTAATTTTTCTTTTTAGTTTCCCATTCTATAAATGGTCACTAGAGATAGAAGCTACTTTGTTTTTTAAAATTTATGCATATAGAAATGGGGTATAAGCCAGAGGAGCAGGGGCGGCAATAGGATTCACCAGAAACAGAATGGGGAGCAGAACAGGCAGATAGACAAAGTACACTGTTGAGGGGAGCAGCAGATGAGATAGGAGAGGTCTGTGTATCACCTCCAGGACTGCTGTTGAACTCACACAGAAGTAGCCACTGCTTGGCTTAGCTTTGCAATGCAGCGCTCCAACCCGGTGCACCACCCAGGAAGGCCTGCTTTGTAATTTATATTTGATTAGGTAGTTTAGATTTAGTATTTGGAGATTATTGTGTCCAACTTCTGATTATCTAAGCTCTGAACAAGTAAATTCTCTACAGAGATGTAGAGAATTGATGTAAATTATGTGTTTTGAATAGAATGACCATAGGTTATTGAACAAGTTTGTGCTTAGTTAGAAGTTACCAATTTGCCACTTTGAATGGAGATAATACCAATTTTTGAACGTTTTAGTACTTAAACTTTTTGTAAGGAGGTGGCAGACAAGGCTTATTTTCCATGAGATCAAATAATCGTCATCCTTAAACAATGTAATGGGTGACTGAGAAGTTTTTAAAGTAACATATGTAGAAACAGTGAGTTCTTCATTTTGTATCAGCATCATCTTTCATGAGTATAGGTTTAAGGCCTCCCTAATGGGTAGGAGTTAAGTCTCAGTGCTATCACCACTAATGAGCTGAATTCCATCCCAGGCCAGGCAGCTAACCCACATATTGTACAGCAGACCTTCCTGTCTTGCCCACTGCTCCCCTCAGCAGTGTTTCAATCTGCCTTTTCTATTCCCTGTTCTGTTGAATTCTCTCACTCCGGTACCTCTGGCCTACATCATGGTGTACACACATACCATTTAATGTCACTTGTAATATCCTGAAAAATGATATGAAACTGAGATTTTTGTTATAGAAATGTTCTCCAATGGTTTACTGTTTTTTTTTTGTTTTGTTTTTGTGGACAGTGTAGCATTTTGCTACCCTTGACTTTTCAAATAGCAGTAACAGAGTAGATTTAGCCAAAATTGTAGCATTCATATTAATGTTCATGGTAGGGGAACATCTACCTCTTACCAATTAAACAGGTGGGGTGGGGAGGGGGTATATTTTCCTAAAGTAACACTGTCTTTATTTTACCTTTCTCATTATGCTTAATGTTGTACAGAGACAGTAAGAGGAATTGTTCCCAGCATGTGTCTGGACTCCTTTCCCCATTGATAGAATGTGTAGGCTATGTTGACTAAGAAAGTAGTGCAGGTCCAGTGCAACTTTTACACTACTAGTATCTCATCATTTCA